CCAACCCTGCCTTCTGGGGACTCCATTCTGTCAATAAAACCCCGATCCCACCTTAGCAACCTTCAGCCCAGCCTTACAGAAAGCCTATCCAGGTCTCCCAGGGATTTCCCCCCACTCCAGTCCTCATTGGGGCACCCGCCCATCCAACACCGCTCTCTCTTCATAGTTCATGCTCCATTAGCCACTAATTGAGAGTTTACTATGCACCAAGTCCTATAACAAGCTCCAGGAGCCAGTGCTCCTTTCCCTTGGAGTTAGGGGTGGGGGAAGCAGACAGACATTAAATCTTAAAAATTAATTACCAGGTGTGACAGTGGTTCCAAAGAAGTACACTTGGACCACAGGGAAGAGTTGGGAAGTGTGTTGGAGGGGAGAGGCAACCAGGGAGGTGCCCTCAATCATGATCTCCTATGAATGTGGCCAAATCCTCCAATTGGCTATTGGATTTGACTCTAAATGTTCTCATTGTTTTTTCTTAGATACCTATTTTAGTCTCATCCAATGTAATAACCATAAGAACCACAATTTTCATTTTCTCATATTCACTAAATAAATATGTAACTCCTAAGAGTAAAAAAAAAAAAAAAATTGTTCAAAGGTCCTTTGCCCTTATGGAACATTACCAGCCACTGTTCCTGATGAGTTGCCTCACAGACCCTCCACCTACACACCCCCTCAAGGCCCATTTCTACTGGTGAACTCCCCATCTTGCCCCAAATACCACCCCTGTCTCCCCCAACACTACACCCCTTCCCCTTCCTATTTACCCTTGCACAGCAAGCCTTGAGCAAATGTCCCCCACAGAGAACCTACCATTTTCCCAGGTTGTATGCCTCACCCTCTTTCCCGGGGAACTTTGGAGACCCAGGGCCCTCCTTAAGCCCTAAACCCCCCTTTCCATTGCCTCTCTGACAGGAGTCAGGCCAGGGTTCCCACCTCCATGTCTTTCCTTTAACATCCCCATTGATCCAATGGCCTCAGATTCTTGTCATCTCTCCCCTTCAAGAGCTTCTCAATATAACTGTTCTTTTTAAAAATTATTCAAGTACTATATTAATACATTCACACTCATTTAATTAGAATTGACCCTTGAACAACAATGGGGGTTGGGGCACCAAACTTGGGGCACAGTTGAAAATCCTGTATACAATTTTTGACTCCTCAAAAATGTAGCTACTAATAGCCTACTGTGACCAATAGCATAAAGTCGGTTAACAAATATTTTGTATGTTATATGTATTATATACTGTATTCTTATAATAAAGCTAGAAAAAAGAAAATGTTATTAAGAAAATCATAAGGAAGAGGGGCATCTGGCTTGCTCAATTGGTAGAGTATGTGACTCCTGATCTCAGGGTTGTGAGTTTGAGCACCACATGGGGTGTAGAGATTACTTAAAAATAAAATCTTTAGAAAATGGAGGGGGCACCTGGGTGGCTCAGTAGGTTAAGCTTCTGACTCTTGGTTTCAGTTAGGTCACTGTCTCAGGGTTGTGAGATTGAGCCCTGAATCAGGCTTGGTACTCAGCGTGGAGTCTGCTTGGGTTTCTCTCTCTCCCTCCCCCTCTGCCCATCTCTCCACTTGTGCATGCTCTCTCTCTCAAATAAATAAAGTAAATCTTAAAAAAAAGAAGAGAAAATACATTTATAGCACTGTACTGTAAAAAATTCACCTGCACAGTTCAAACCCATGTTGTTCAAGGGTTAACTGTAATTTAAAATATTTATTACAGGGGCACCTGGGTGGCTCAGTTGATTAAGCCTCTGCCTTTGGCTCAGGTCATGATCCCAAGGTCCTGAGATCAAACCTCACATCAGGCTCCCAGCTCAGCGGGGAGCCTGCTTCTCCCTCTCCCTCTGTCCCTCTCTCCACTCATTCTCTCTCTCTCTCTCCCCCAAATAAATAAAATCTTAAAAAAATAAATAAAATATTTATTATATACATATTGTGTTAGACATCATTCTAGATGCTGGGGACACAGCCATGAACATAAAGACAAAAATCCTTGCTTTCGTGGAGTCATAGTCCTGCAGGCAAGATGGACTATAAACCAGAAAAAAAAAAGAGAAATATTCTGTGATTATATATTTTCTTTCCTCTGCAGGAAAGGAAGCTACTTTGGACAGGGTGGTCAGGGAAGGCCTCTCTGAGAAGGTGGACTTGAGAAATGATATGGAGTCACATGGAGAAAAGGAAACATGCAGAGCTTATTAGCTATATCATCTTGGGCAAGTGCAAAGACCCTGAGGTCTAAATGAAAGAAGGTCAAAGAATGTAAAGGAACAACTGAGGATAATAAGTGAGGGATGAGGATGAGGATGGAGAGACAGACAAGGCCAGTGTGAGGGTTGAAGTTTAGTTCTGAGGGTGATGGGAGGCACTGGACAGTAAAAGTTTCCACTAATACAGTCTTGACAGTTTTCCATATATTTCCATATATCCAGGTGTATGTGCACATAGTTGATTTTTATCTCTTCTTCAGGACTTTGCAAATTCTGTTCTCTCTTACCAAAATGCTGTTCTTCCACCCTCATTGGAACAACACAAGCTTGCCTTTGTGCCTCCTCTAAAAAACTTTCCATGATCTGCCTGGATGGGATCCCTCCCTCCCTCGCTGTTCCCGTTTCTCACAGTACCTGGTACTACTGCTGTCGTGTGATACTTTTCTTGGAAATTCCCCTTTCCTCCAACCCCTTAGTAGGAGCTCTCTGAGCCAGGGAGGTACTGCATCCATTCTGGTTGGAACTCAGAGCTAGACACAGAGGAACCTGAGAAATGCTTGTTAATTGACCACCTGGCTGGGGCGCTTGGGTGGTTCAGTCATTAAGTGTCTGCCTTCGGCTCAGGTCATGATATCGAGCCCCGTGTTGGGCTTCCTGCTCCGCGGGAAGCCTGCTTCTCCCTCTCCCACTCCACCTGCTTATGTTCCTTCTCTCACTGTGTCTCTCTCTGTCAAATAAATAAATAAAATCCTTTTAAAAAAACTGACCACCTGGCTGATATAATAACTGAATGAGCTTTCAGGGATGTAGAATCCATTTCCAGCAGGCTCCCCATTCAGGCTGACTCCTGCTCTGAACTTTCTGCTCCTCACCTCCATCTCTTCCTCCACCCAAATATGTCAGTCCTATTTCCTTAAGGCCCACTTGTTGGCACTGAACTGAATCAAATCACAGCTTAGAGACTCCTGGTATAAGTAATGTGGTAATTCTAGGCATGGAGCCAAGTAGGGAAGAAGGAAAGTTTGGGAAACTTCCAGTGTCCCCCTCCACAATGAGTGCTCCTGCCACCCCAGAAAAGTTAACTTCTCCATGGGGAGGGGAGAAATCATGAGCAGCTTAAACCAGAGTCCCAGTTGCAAGGGAAAGGAAGTAAGGACACACATAGCAATGCTGGGCCCTGACATCTTGTTCATTGGCATTGGTAGGAGACAGCAAAACATGGTGGTTGCTATGGGCTGAATTGTTTCCCCCCAGAATTCATATACTGACATTCTAACCCCTAGTACCTCAGAATGTGACTGTATTTGGATATTGGGCCTTTAAAAGAAGTATTTAAGATTAAACAAGGTTATATAAGTGGGTCCTAATACAGTATGACGGGTGTCCTTATAAAAAGAGGAAATTTGGACACAGGTATGTACAGACCATGTGAAGACACAAGGAGAAGACAGTCACTTATAAACCTTTCAGTGTTTTTCAGGGGAAAATTTTTATAATTTATGTAACATTGCCACTATTTTCAGAGGAAGGATTACCTGAATAAACCAGTCCACTATTACTGAAAAGGAAGGAAGGAAGGAAGAAAATCCAGTTTCGGTGCTAAAATAGGCCAAGTATAATTCCTCCTTCACTGACCTCTGACACCATCTTCTGACACTGACCCAGGCAATAATACCCCAGATAAATACCACATGGCCCAAGTCCTGGGGGATACCCTCACAAGCCACAGCCACCACTCAACGTGTTGCTGTTATCCAATGACAACTCCACATAGTGACACACATAAATTCCACCCACCAGTACTCTGTGAGATGTCAACCCCAAACTGTATTGCTTCAACAAGCATATGTTGGACACCCACCATGTGCTAAGTGCTGGGGTTACAGCAGAAAACAAGACAGACAAGGTTTCTGCGGTCATGGAATTTACAGCCCGGTAGGGGCAATGGACGATGGAAATGTAGCAAACAAATAATTTCAAAGAGTGAAAAGTTATATGACGGAACTAAAAGAGAGGGCAGTGCTACTTTAGATGGGACATCTAAGAAGCCCTCTCCGAAGAGGTGGCATTTGATCTGAAACCTGAAGATTGAAAAGGAGCCCACCATGGGGGTAATGCATACCAGTCAGGAAAATATTAGGTGCAAAGGCGCCGAGACAGGAGCCTTCTTGGCATGCTCAAGGAACGGCAAGGAGACCAGTTTGGCTGCAGAGGAGTGAGTGAGGGGCCAAATGACAGCATATGAGGTTAGAGAAGGAAGCAGGGCTCAGATTATAGTCTTTCTTGTGGACTGTGGGAAGGAGTTTGGATTTGAAGAATAAATGGAAGCCCTTGAGATCTCATATGATTTATGCCCTAATAAGTTTGCTAGGAGCACTGTTACCCAATCAGAACAGTTTTGTGTAAAGACTTGTGAGGCCTGGCTCCTCCTAGTGTCACCCTCCCGATTCTAGGGAGGGCGGCTCCTCTTTCAAGAAACGTCCTTTCAAGCTCTCAGGTGACATACCTCCTGCCAAGCACGAAGGAAACAGGCTACCTGTTTGGACAAATCCACGTGTGTGATTCGGGCTTCCTTAGAGCTGGTCGGGCGGAGCCCGTTGTGATTGGTTACAAACTCTCCACTCTTCCAATCAGACCGCTATTCGGGAGAGTGCGTGCATCTCGTTCCCCCTGTGAGACGAGTGAGCCATTTGATCGGCTCTTCCCGTGAGAGTGACAGCAGACGCAGCCTATGAGCGCAAAGACGCGCTGCTCGGTCCAGTGCTGCCAGCGGCGCCGCCGGAACCCGGGGCTGTCAGTGCTGGTGCTGCTGCTCTCTCCGCACCCCGGGCGCCCCTCGCACTATGGCGGTCCCGCCGCAGCTACGAGCCCTGCTCCATGCGGTCAACGAACTGTTGCGCAAGCGCCGCTACCACGCTGCTTTGGCCATGCTTAAGGGCTTCCGGAACGGGGCAGTGTGAGTGGGGCCGTTGGGCTGTGCGTGGGCTGAGGGATGGGTGCGGCTGAGGTCGGAGGACCGGATTCTGGGCGCGTTGCCCCCCTGTGTGCCCTTGAGCAGCCCTAGTGTGTTTCTAGGCCTTGGTGTCCACCATCTGCACAGTGGGCGCTGGGGATTTGGGGTTCCTTGCGCCTTCTGAGCTGCGGCTCCCATTAAGCTGTGTCTGGGTCCTCCGTGCTTCGCAACCTGGGGCACTTGCCTTGACCACCTCCCACTCCAGCCTCTGTATCCCCTCGTTGGGGCCGACCCCCACCCCACCCCGCCTGCTTTGTGACCTTGGGTCTGTCTGGCTTCAACGGCCCCATCTGCACAATGAGAAGTGGCCACTGGCATCGAGCAGGCCAGCGGCGCGTTGTGTGCATGCTCCCACCATTAAGCTGCCTGTGGGCTCACATCCCACATCTCACTCCCCATCTGTATGACTCTAGCTCTAAGTCCCCATCCGGCCCAGGGGACTCCTGGGGCATAAGCCTGAGGAGTGACAACGACTGTAAAAGAAGGTGCAGCTATTTGCTGGGCAAATTGATTCCACCCTGGCCATCAGATCTGCTGGAAAGGAGGTCTTGGGGTCATTTCACCTGGCTGGTAACTGCAGGAGAGCGCCCCCTCCTTTAAAACTCATGCATAACAGTATCTTTTGTTGAGCACCTACTGTGCCAGAACTGGGGATGCAACAGAGAACAAACTGAACAAAGACCTGTCCTCTTGGAGTTGACATGCTAGTGGCAGCATGGCATGGTGGTGAGAGTACCTCTGGACTGCCTGTGCTCGAATCTTGGTGCCACCTACCTGTGTGATCTTTTTTTTAAAAGATTTTATTTATGGGGGCGCCTGGGTGGCTCAGTTGGTTAAGCAACTGCCTTCGGCTCAGGTCATGATCCTGGAGTCCTGGGATTGAGTCCCACATCGGGCTCCCGGCTCAGCAGGGAGTGGGCTTCTCCCTCTGACCCTCCTCCCTCTCATGCTCTCTGTCTCTCATTCTCTCTCTGGCAAATAAAATCTTAAAAAAAAAATTAAAGATTTTATTTATGTATTTGACAGAGAGAAAGAAAGCGCACGAGCAGGGGGAGAGGCAGGAGGCAGAGGGAGCAGCAGACTCCCCACTGAGCAGGGAGCCTGGTGTGGGACTCGATCCTGGGACCCTGGGATCATGACCTGAGCTGAAGGCAGATGCTTAACGACTGAGCCACCCAGGCGCCCCTAAGCTATTTTAGTTTTCATTTTTTTAGGCCAACTGAATCTACTGATAGCCACTATAGAGTGTCTCCTGTACACAGATTCCCAGGAAAATAAAGCAGAAGAAGATGAGGAAGGAAAGGGAAAGTAATGTGTATTTCCTGCAGAGAGAGGATAGTTCTGGTCTGCTGCTGTTTTCTCGGTGGTAGGGATGAATTTGCACAGGTCATTTCTCATCTCTCCAGTCACCTCAATGGGGGCCTTAAAGTTTTTATTCAGTCATTTGACATAGAGAGAGCAAGAGAAGGAACACAAGCAGGGGGAGTGGGAGAGGAAGAAGCAGGCTTCCCGCTGAGCAGGGAGCCCGGTGCGGGGCTCGATCCCAGGACCCTGGGATCGCGACCTGAGCTGAAGGCAGATGCCTAACGACTGAGCCACCCAGGCACCCCAAGATTTATTTATTTTAGAGAGAGAGGGAGAGCACTGGTGGGGAGGGGCAGAGGGAGAGGGACAGAGAGAATCTCAAGCAGACTCCCCTCTGAGTGTCCTGAGTGCAGGGCCCAATCTCACCCCCCTGAGGTCATGACCTGAGCCGAAATCAAGAGTTGGACGTTCAGCTGACTGAGCCACCTAGACACTCCTCAATTATTTTAATTTTAAAAGCAATGCTTAACCATTACAGATCATTTTGGAAATATGGAAAAGTTAAAAAAAGACAAAAGTAAATTCTCATATTCCTCCAGCTCAGGGAACATTGCTAATAACATTGTGGCATATTTCCTTCCAGTCTTTTTTTTTTTTAACCCATTTTTACAAAGCTGAGGTCCTCCTGTGTATCATAGTTGGAAAGAGGTACACTTTGAATAAGTAGAAGGAGGTACGATGTTACTCAGCAACTGTTTTAGGGAATTTGTTAACTTTAAGATAGACCAAGCTAAAGGTAGAACCTTCCAGAAATTACCTTCCCTCACAAATAATTAAGGGCTGTTCTAGAATCAGTCAGCAATCATGTATGGAGCACATTACTATATGTCAAGTACCATGCAAGGTGCTGGGGACTCTGCAGAAGACAAATCAAACACAGCCCCTCCCTCACAAGGCCCACGGTCTAGTGGAGGAAAGAGATAATTAGAATAGAATAGGGACGCCTGGGTGGCTCACTCGGTTAAGCGGCTGCCTTCGGCCCAGGTCATGATCCCAGGGTCCTGGGATCGAGTCCCGCATCGGGCTCCTTGCTCATCAGGGAACCTGCTTCTCCCTCTCTCTCCCTCTGCTTGTGCTCTCTGTCAAATAAATAAAATCTTTAAAAAAAAAAGAATAGAATAAGTAATTACGAGTAATCGAGTCATTAACCCAGGACTGTAAACCACTGCAGAGAAGGTTGGAGCTCCATGGCAATGAAAATATTGCCCTAAACCTCGTCTGGTGGGTAAGAAGCCTCCACAGAGGTGCCCACTGAGACTGGAAGGCTGAGGAGTTGGCTGCCGCGTGAGGAGCAAGGAAGAGCAGTCCGGGCTGAGGGAACAGCCTGCCCAGAGGCAGGGGAGAAGCTGGTGGGTCAGAGGAACTAGGGGAAGGCCATGGGGCTGGAGCAGGAGAGGAGGGGCGCTGGAAGTAGGAGAAGTAAGCGGGGGCCAAATCCTGCAGCACTTTCAAGGCTGTGGGAGGAACCTGGATTTTATTCTGTGAGTATTGGAAAGGTATTGGCCGCTTTGAAGAGGGGATGTGATATGATTTAAGTGTTAAAAAAGATGGGTCTGACTGCAACGGGAAGGTCAGGGTAGAACCGAGGGAGCAACTCCACACCGGTGGGGTTGGATGGGGTCGGTGTAGGCCTTTGACACACGTTGTCCCCTTTCATTGAAATTATAACCAGCCCTGTAGCCTGACGTCCCCTTTTGCTGTTAGGCAAACCGAGGCTCAGAGAAGTGAAGTAGCAAGCCTGCGGCCCCACTCCTACGAAGGTGTCAGAGCTGGGGTTTGAACCCAATCTAACTTGGAAGCCAGCATTATCTTCCCTTCCAGGGTGACGTTCGGATTAGGGCTGGAGGCGGGTGGGGAAAGGCGTCAGAGAGCCCAGAAAGAAACTGTGAGGCAGTGATGCCGTAATAACTGTTTCCTTTCATTTCTGCAGCTATGGAGCCAAAATCCGGGCCCCTCACGCGCTCGTCATGACCTTTCTCTTCCGGAGTGGCAGGTACCCACCCCCTCTGCACACCCCTCAGACTGGGGGAGAGTATGGTCAGCCCTCAGTGCCAGGACGCTTGCACTAGCTTCCTAGCTAGGTCTAGCCGGCCCCCCTGCCACCACCATCTCCTCAAGGACGACTCTGATCCTATTATTCCTGCTCAAAAACTCCCCGGGCTGCCACAGTCCTCCAAAGAAGCCCAGCTTCCTTCCTTAAAAAGCCCTCTGCAACTAGTCGTGTCGAGCCCTGGGTGACGTATGGAGCTGTTGAATCACTGTCATGTACACCTGAAACTAATATAACAGCCTATGTTCACTATACTGGGATTAAAATAAATTAAACACAAAACCCCAAAGGCCCTCTGCCGCCTGGGCTCAGCTGCATCCCCACACTCCTCCCTTACGTCCACCTGGGAGTGTCCCGGGCCCACAGGACTCCCTGCCACGCCGCGTGTCGTTCCAGCGCCGTACATTTGCTTATGTGGTAACCCCCGCCAGGCGCACCCTTTCCTCTTCACCCTATTTTTATTTCCTTCCTGGCAGCCCATACCAGTCATGTGAGGATCACTTCCTTGGGAAAACTGTCCGTGACCGCCTTCGCTCACTCAGACTGCTTGGTCTCCCTCCATCCCCCATAGCTTTCCCCTCATGGCACTTCTCAGAAACCACTCTGTGGCCTGGTTTTTAACGTATGTAGCCTCACCTGGCTCTTGTAAGAAGCACACATGGACAGCCTACTGGCCAAATCCAGCTTGCAAGAGTTTCTCTTTTTGTATTTTTATTTAGGATTGCCTTTTTTTTTTTAAGATTTTATTTGTTTATTTGAGAGAGTGTATGAGCACGAGCAGGGGGAGGGGCAGAGGGAGAGGGAGAAGCAGGCTCCTCGCTGAGCACGGAGCCCGATGGAGGACTCGATCCCAGGACCCCGGGATCATGACCTGAGCCGAAGGAAGACGCTGAACTGCCTGAGCCACCCCAGCGCCCCTAGAAGCATTTGTGAAGGCAAGATTAGCACCAACACTTAACTGGAAAATCCAGCTTTCTTGCATTAGAACTGGCAACACTAGAGGCACCTGGCTGGCTCAGTCAGTAGAGCATGTGACTCTTGATCTTGGGGTCATGAGTTTGAGCCCCATGTTGGGCATAGTGTGTACTTAAAAAATTAACAACAACAACAAAAAACTGGCAACACCACGCTCATGTTCCTCTGAGGCGAGAACCGGCTGACTCTTGGCTGTCCCCACTCACCTGGCAGATTTCCACAGGTTGCATTAGACCCACTTTCAAGGCCCTCATCTAGCCTTGAGAGCACTTGGTTGTATGATCCTTGAATTGACTTCCGGGAGTACTTGCTGCTCTTCTCCCTGTGTTCTCTCACCCCCCTAGTGACTTAATTTTAAAAGTTAAATAGAATCCTTGCCCAACATGGGCGCCTGGGTGGCTCAGTCGTTAAGCGTCTGCCTTCGGCTCAGGTCGTGATCCCAGGGTCCTGGGATCGAGTCCCACATTGGTCTCCCTGCTCGGCGGGAAGCCTGCTTCTCCCTCTCCCACTCCCCCTGCTTGTGTTCCTGCTCTCGCTGTGTCTCTCTCTGTCAAATAAATAAAAAAACTTTAAAAAAAAAAAAAAAAAGAATCCTTGCCCAACTTAAATGTGCACTTTTCTCAGGATAAAGACAAAACTGCATGTCCTCACTTCTCCTCACATTCTGTCCCCCCCCCGCCGCATTCTCTGCTCAGGCCTTGATGGTTTCTTGCTGTTCCCTTACTCCTCACTCTCTGTCCCTCCTCCAGACCTTTGCATGTGCTGATCCCTCTGCCTGGGATGCAGCCCCTGTCCCCTCTCCACCTCACTGACGACTCATCCTTCTGATCCTAGGATCATCTCTGGTCAAGGTCAAAGTTTGACCCTTGCTTTGTGATTATTTATGTTTCTCTCTCCCATTAGATCACATACCTTATGAAGGCAGCAAGCATTTTTTCCTCAGAATCCTATCCCCAATTCCAGTACATAGTAGGCTCTCCCTTACTCCCTCGTTCATGTCCTCACATGCTCATGCCAAAAAGTCATTTACATTTACACCTACTATGTGCCAGGCCCTGTTCTGGGCCCTGGGGATCAACAAGCCAGGTGTAGACACCACCCTCTGGTAGCTTCCACTGGGTTGGGGTGGGGGTGGGAAGAGATTAAGCCTATTAACGTCAGCTGGTGGAAGAGCTGTGAGGGTGAAGGGGACAGGATAGTCAGGCAAGGCCTCTCTGAGGAGGTGACATGGAGTCGAGGCCTGAATCCAGTGGGGGAGCAGCCCCAAGGACATGGAAGCTAGAGGCCCGGGGCTGGCTCAGGTTTGCATGCCCAGTGGGTGAATGCCCTGGGAGTAGTTGGGTCACCACTCATGGGGGTTCCCTGTGTTTGTCCAGCCTCCAGGAGAAGCTGCGGGCCATCCTGCAAGCCACGTACACCCACTCCCGGAACCTGGCCTGCTTTGTGTTCACCTATAAGGGGCTCTGCGCCCTGCAGGCCCACGTGCAGGGCGAGACCTACCAGGTGCACTCGTTCCTGGCTGCCTTCATCGGGGGCTTGCTGGTGTTTGGAGAGAACAATAACATCAACAGCCAGGTAAAGACCCTTCCCCAGGATAGGGCTCAGGGATCAGAGGCCAGGACGGGGAGGGACGTGGTCCAGGTATAGAATTAGGGGTGGAGGTCAAAGAAGATGAACTCTTTGCTCCCTTCCATGTCCAGGTGTCTGTGATCCACCGGTCCCTGTGTGACCTTGGGAGGGTCACTTTCCATTTCCCCATCTGTAAACCAAGCAGCTTGCTGAAACTCCATGTTTCCCCAAGTCCATGTGTGTGGTGTTCTCTGGAGCGAAGTTTTTTTTTTTTTTAATACGGAGCGCTTCGTGAATTTGTGCGTCATCCTTGTACAGGGGACTGCTAATCTCTGTGTCGTTCCAGTTTTAGTCTATGTGCTGCTGAAACGAGTGTGATTAAAAAAAAGATTAGGGGCGCCTGGGTGACTCCGTCATTAAGCATCTGCCTTCGGCTCAAGTCATGATCCCAGGGTCCTGGGATCGAGCCCCACATCAGGCTCCCTGCTCCTCGGGAAGCCTGCTTCTCCCTCTCCCACTCCCCCTGCTTGTGTTCCCTCTCTTGCTGTGTCTCTGTCAAACAAATAAATAAATAAAATATTTAAAAATAAATAAATAAATAAAAATAAAATCTTAAAAAAAAAAGATTTTAAAAAAACCCCACTGTGCAGTGAAATGAGAAAAAAAATGACTCTGGGAGCGCCTGGCTGGCTCGGTCAGTAGAACATGCAACTCTTGATCTCAGAGTCATGAATTTGAGCCCCATGTTGGGCATAAAGCTTACTAAAAAAAAAAAAAGAAGAAATGGCTTTGGAGTAACATTTTCATAAAACAAAACTTATTACACTTACAGAATGATCTCTTCTTCTGTATCTTGGCCTTTTTCTGGGTTAAAATCCCATTTGTGAAATGAAATGCTAGTTGTTTTAGAGTCCTCCTTGGGCAACATGAAAAGTCAGCAGCCCCTCCCTTTGCCTCCCTCAAATTTATTAAATACTTTCAAATTATAAAAATCATGTTTAATTTTCACATTTAAAAAAATGCAGACTAGGGGTGCCTGGGTGCCTCAGTCGTCAAGTGTCTGCCTTTGGCTCAGGTCATGATCCCAGGGTCCTGGGACCAAGCCCCACATCGGGCTCCCTGCTCAGTGGGAAGCTTGCTTTTCCCTCTCCCACTCCCCCTGCTTGTGTTCCCTCTCTCGCTGTCTCTCTCTCTCAAATAAATAAATAAAATCTTTAAAAAAAAAAAAAATCCAACAGACTAAGCACCCCCTGTGTGTCTGGCACACTTCTAGGTGCTTGGGGTGCATCACAATAAAATTAGAAAATAAATTGAAAAAAAAGCTCCCATCCCCCTTCAGTTGTCAAGGCACTGTCCAGGAACACTTTAACTGTGTCCTTTTTTTTTTAAAGCCTTAATTTATTTATTGGAGAGAGAGAGCATGAGCGGAGGTGCAGAAGGAGAGGGAGAAGCAGACTCCTGCTGAGCAAGGAGCCCTATGTGGGGCTCGATCCTAGGACCTTGGGATCATGACCTGAGCTGAAGGCAGATGCTTAACCGACTGAGCCACCAGGTGCCCCACTTTAACTGTGTCTTGTGTGGCCCTTCATAAATTGTCTGTGCTTATATCTGTACATACTGGAAGTTTTCTACCAATGAGATCACGCCATACTTTTTCTTCACAGAATGATGTATTTGGGAGACCTTTCTTGTCAGTCAATCATTCTTTTTAACATCAGCAGAACTCGCTATTGGGTGGATGGACCAGCCTTGATTTCCCTAGTCTCCTCTGGATGGACACTTAGAGGGTCTCTAGCCTTTTGCCAGGACACACGCACTAGTCCACATCTTTGTTTGGACATCTTCTTACACGTGTCAATCCATCTGAAATTTCCTTACCACGGAACTGTGGAATCTATAGATATGAGCATTTTGAATTTTGAGAAAGTTTCCCTAGCTTTGCTTTTTTCGTTAGAAATGTCACTGGTCTATGAACTTCCAAGGGCTAGGGATCCTGGTCACACCATCTCCTTTCCCCTCCCTTCCTTTCCCTGACCCCTGGCAACAACTACTCTGACCTCCATTTCTAAAATTTTGTCATTTCAAAAATGTTATGTAAGTAGAGTCATTGCAGTATGTAACTTTTGGGGATTGGCTTTTTGCACGCAGCGTAATTCCCTGGAGATTCATCCATGTTGTGTGTATATCAACAGTTCATTCCAGGGCATGGATGCCCCACACTTCATTTAAACATTCACCCATTGAAGGACATCTGGGTTGTTTCCAGCTCTTGGCTATTAGAAATACAACTAAGAATATTCTTGTACAAGTTTTACATAGGTTTTCATTACTCTGGAATAAATGCCCAAGAGTCCAATTGCTGGGTCATATGATACATGCATGTTTAATTTTTTTAAAGATTTTTAAGTAATCTCTATAGCCAACATGAGGCTCAAACTCAGAACGCCGAGATCAAGAGTCACACGCCCCACCTACTGAGCCAGCCAGGTGCCCTGTGCATGTTTATTTTTTTTTTTTTTAAGATTTTATTTATTCATTTGAAAGAGAAAGAGCTCAAGGAAAGCACGAGTGGGGAAGAGGGGCAGAGGGAGAGGGAGAGGGAGAGAATCTCAAGCAGACTCCACGCTGAGCGTGGAGACCCACGCAGGGCTCGATCTCAAGACCCTAAGATCATGACCTGAGCCGAAACCAAGAGTTGGATGCTTAACTGACTGAGCCAGCCAGGCACCCCCATGCATGTTTAATTTTTTAAGAAACTGCCAATCTATTTTCCAGAGTGACTGTACTATTTTACATTCCCATCAGGAATATACAAATGATCCATTTTCTCCACATCCTAGCCAGCATTTGGTTTATTGCATTTTTAATTTTAGCCATTTTGATAGGTCTGTAGTTCTTCTCATTGTGGTTTTAATTTGCATTTCCGTAACAGCTAATGATGTTGAACATCTTTACATGTGCTTATTTCCCATCTGTAGAACCAGTTCAGTGAAACATTTGTTCGCATCTTTAGCTTATTTTCTAATTGGATTGTTTTTTTACCATTGAATTTTGAGAGTTTTTTTAAAAAGTATATTCCAGGTACGAGTTTTTGTCAGATATGTGTTTGCAAATATTTCTCCCAGCTGTAGCTTTTATTTTCAGCCTCTTTGTATGGGCTTTCACAACCAAACAATTTTAAATTTTGATGAGAACCAATTTACCAATTTTTTATTTTTGTGTGGGTTGTAGTTTTTGGTGTCAGGTTACCTTTCAGTTTTGAACCATGTTAAATATATTCATTTTCTAAAAATCTTAATGAACAAGAATGATAAATTACAGAAATGAATAGCAACATTAAAATACCTACTACAGGGGTGCCTGGGTGGCTCAGTCTGTTAAAGTATCTGACTCTTGATTTCAGCTCAGGTCATGATCTCAGGGTCTTAAGGCTGAGCCCTGTGTCACACCCTGCACTGAGCGTGGAGCCTGCTTAAGACTCTCTCTCTGCCTCTCCACCCCCCTTCTCTCTCTCTCTCTCTCTCAAATAAATAAATAAAATCTTTAAAAATACCTACGCCTGGGTGGCTCAGTCGTTAGGCGTCTGCCTTCGGCTCAGGTCATGATCCCAGGGTCCTGGGATCGAGCCCCTCATCGGGCTCCCTTCTCAGTGGGAAGCCTGCCTCTCCCACTCCCCCTGCTTGTGTTCCCTCTCTCACTGTGTCTCTCTCTGTCAAATAAATAAATAAAATCTTTAAAAAAAAAAATACCTACTACATATCATTCGGATCATCAAATCACTTCAAATCATCTTGCACACTAGCTTTGAAAAACACTGATCTGGGCACTTCTGGCTGGCTCAGTTGGAAGAGCATGGGACTCCTGAACTTGGGGTCGTGGGTTCAAGCCCCACATGGGGTGTAGAGATTACTAAAATAAATAAACTTTTTAAAAAAAGATTGTATTTATTTATTTGAGAGAGAGGGAGAGAGAACAAGCAGGGAGGAGAGAGAGAAGCAGGCTCCCGGCTGAGCAGAGAGCCCAATGTGGGACTTGATCCCAAGGCTCTGGGATCACGACCTGAGCCGAAGGCAGGTGCTTAACCAACTGAGCCACCCAGGCGCCCCTAAAATAAACAAACTTGAAAAAAAAGAAAGAAAAAAGAAAAACCCTGATCCTGTGTGCAGTTGTGCCCCAGGATGTGGGGTTGGGCCAAAGGTTCCCAGCGGCTGTGCCTTCCCGTAATCCCCTGTCATTCCCTCCCTGCAGATCAACATGTACCTGCTCTCCCGCCTCCTGTTTGCCCTGTGCCGCCTGGGCGTGGAGAAGGGCTACATTCCCGAGCCCAGGTGGGACCCATTCCCCCTGTTCACCGGGCTGGTGTGGGGGCTGGTGCTGTGGCTTTTTGAGTACCACCGGCCCACTCTGCAGCCGTCCCTGCAGTCCTCCATGACCTACCTGTACCAGGACAGCAATGTCTGGCATGACATCTCAGACTTCCTCCTCTACAACAAGAGCCTCCCCTCGAAGTGATGCGGCCCCGAGGTGCTGATGGGGGCTTCCGCAGCCAAGATTGTCTCCAGCGGTGAATCACCCCCAAAGGATCCTGCCTTCTCAAGATCATGGTTCTCAGACTCCAACTTTTATTGCCCCAGGGTTCCATTTGCCGAAGCAAAAGCACTGATCTCCAAGACCATTAGGTCCTCTCCAATGGCGGAACGAGTGGTGAATTGGGCTGCGGGGCCTCGACGTGATTCCGGCTGTGCTGCTGGCTACTGTGAGACCAGGGAAAGGCCCCCCCCCACACCCCCGGACGTCAGGGGTCAGCGAGCTCAGAGGAGGGCCCTGAAGTCTCTTTCTGGTGGGTTATGGTCTTTGACCGTTCTATGTAACAGGATTCCTTGCTGGGGGGCAGTGGGTTACAAATAGGTTTTTAGAAAAAAATTAAATTCCTGGGCTCAGGTGTTGCTCTAGTGGAGAAGCTCTAGAATTCCACTGTCCAATAGAAGCACAGTGTGATCTGTATATGTAATTGAAATTTGTCTTAGTAGCCACATGAAAAAAGGTAGAAAGAAGCAGGTGAGATTAATGTTAGTTATAGATTTTAACCTGGTATTTCTAAAATACTATCATTTTAACATGTAAAAATGAATATAAAAATTAATGAGATATTTTATATTCTTTGTTCTTGTACTAGGTCATCAGAATCAGGTATGTAGTGTCTCCTTACAGTGTGTCTCAATGGGGACCAGCCATATTTCAAGTGCTCAGTAGCCACATGTGGCTAGTGGCTACCATATTGGATAACACAGACATGGAACACTTCTATCCTTGCAGAAAATTCTAGTGGACAGTGCAGATATAGAGCTAGGGGACATGGATTTAAGTCCCCACTCCACCACTGTGTAACCTTGGGGAAGGTTCTTAACCTCTCAGAGCCTCAGTTTCTTGTAAAATGAGGATAATCATAATACACACCCAGTGTCCACGTTGGATTTGTGTAACTACAAGAGCTGCTATTACTACTAATTACTTCCATTTAGTGAGCTCCTACTTCCTCCCAGGTGCTTTGCACGTATTATTTGTAACCCATACAATGACCTTGCCGGTGTGTATTTTGATCCTCATTTCGCAGATGTGGACACTGAGAATCAGAGGGGGGAGGTCACTTGCCCAAGATAATACAACCAGTATGATAGCCAAATCAGGGTTTGAACCCAGAGCTGTCTGAGTTTAATACCCATTTTTTTTTCAGTGCCTTATGTTAAATTTAGAAACCTAAGCTATGCTATGCAAATGTTAACTAGTTCTAGGATGGGCTCCAGAACGGGGTGCAAATTCAAATGCCCGGAGGGTTCTGGCAAGGGGCATAAATGAAAATATTGTGCACTCGGGAGTAACGGTAACCTGGGGAACTGGAGACTCATGTGCTAGTCCGATTTTTAAAATCACTGTGCTGGACAAATCAAACCAGGTCTCCAGGAAGATGTGGTCCATGGCCCATCAATTTGAGACCCTTGGTCTAGTAGGAATACTTCAGTCTCTTTTTAGAAATTACTAGTAGACATGCGTCACTGGTGATCTTATTAAAATGCAGATTCTGACTCAGTGAGTTTGGGCCAGAGATTCTACCTTTCTCGCAGGCTTCCAGGTGCTGCTGGTGGTGCTGCTGGTCTGACCTGTACCTTGAGTAACAAGGTAGTAGGGAATGATGTGCAGCCAACCATAATCTCTTGTTACAAATGAAGAAGCCAAGTCACAGAGCTGTTAGGTAATCATGGTAGGATTAGGCCTGATTTTAACAGCAGTGTTCTCAGCTATGACGTTGACCTGCACGCTTGGAGAAGGTGATCTGGAAGGTTCCCTGAACTCACTTTTGGAGGCTGAATGAGATCCCAAGGTTATGAGGAGGAAGGGGGTGGCCATCAGCAAGCAGATGCTGGGGGTACTTCACCCAGTCCCCGCTAACTTCTCGCTTCACTGCACACCAGCCAACTCTTCCAACTGCCACCCCTGTGTCTTTCTGCCTGAGGGCTCTCGCTTGCCCCTGGCACCTGCTCTGCCACTCACAGCAGGTCTGGAGGAGTAACACATCTGATAACTCCCAGGCGCATGCTCCACACTGGCTCCTGGAGTTCCCTAGCAGGACTGAACTGACCCACAATGGTCACTTGCTTGATAACTCCTCCCCCACCCTTCCCTGTCTCTTTCATCCCTAACATGGGATCACTTCCCAAATAAACCACTTGCACTGAAATCCTTGTCTTGGGGTCTGCTATTGAGGAAAATCCAAACTAAAATTGGCCTCTGGTGCAGCAAGCTGAGAGTCAGTGGAGGTTATGGACATAGACTTCGGAGCAAGAGTGCCTGGGCTCAGCCCTGTTTGCTCAGGCAAGTGACTTAACCGTTCTGTACCTCTGTTTCTTCATCTATGAGCTAGGCATGCTAATATCACTCACCTCACAGCATGGTCTGGAGGATTAGACAATATGATGAGTATAAAGTAAGCACTCAGTAAATGTTTGCTGTTATTTGTAATATAGCATCCAAACGTAGGAGGAAGTGTGGTCCTAAGAACTGAGTACCCCCCTGCTTTTAGCCTCTCCTGCCCCCCAGCTGAAGGTACAGCCTTGGCGCTCTGCCTGCCCAGCATCCCCCCACTGCTGCGGGGGGCTGGCCGGCTGCGCCACCGACTGTCTCTGCTCTCTAAGAATAGGTTTCCCTCACAGATGGCATCTCTCTGGATCCTGCCAGAGCATCTGGTGCCTCCAACTGCTCACTCCAGGGAGCAAGGCTGTGTGGTCCTCTGCTGAGGAGCAGAGCCCTGGCTTCCAGCAGACCTGGGAGGAGTCCCCACTTGCCTCCCTCCTAGCTGAGCTTCCATTTCCTAAGATCTGTAAAACTGGCATTGCCGAAGGGCCCTTGGCACACAGTAGGCACTCTATAAATGCTAGTTCCTGAAATTGTACAATGGTTTACATGTTTATTAAGCACCTGTCACATTCCTGTGAAGTCTTCTGACATGCAAGACTATAAAAAATAATTTTTCATCAGTAGCCCATGCTCCTAGTACAGAACTTACATGGTACAAAAGGTGTATCACAAGGAAAAGTCGGGCTCCCTCCTACACCCAAGCTCCACCCCCAAACCCCCCCTTTTGCCAGGAGCACTCACTGTTAGTACTTTCTAGTGTAGGCTTTCTGAGATATTCTGTGCACAGCCACCTGTCTTTGTCTTACGAGAAACTGTTTTAGAAGATTTTATTTTACCTTTTTTTTTCCTTAAGTAGGCTCCATGCTCAGCATAGAGCCCAACAAGGGCTTGAACTCACAACCCTGAGATCAAGACCTGAGCTGAGATCAAGAGTCGGACGCTTAACCAACTGAGCCACCCACGTGCCCTTAAATATTTGATTTCTTTTTTTTTTAAGATTTATTTATTTATTTATTTATTTTAGAGAGAAAGAGCACAAGTGGGGGAGGGGCAGAGAGAGAGAGAGGGAGAGAGAATCTCAAGCAGACTCCCTGCTGAGTGTAGAGCCCAACATGGGGCTCCATCCCATGCCCCTGAGATCATGACCCTAGCTGAAATCAAGAGCTGGGCGCCTAACCAATTGTACCACCCAGGGGCCCCCTAAAGATTTTATTTTTAGGTAATCTCTATACTCCATGTGGGGCTCAACCTCATAACCCCCAGATCAAGAGTCACACGTTCTACCGACTGAGCCGGCCAGACGCTCCTGTCTTCCGAGAAACTTTCGCATCACATTGTCATCTCCAAAAGTCTTTGGCATTTCTTCCTCGCGCTCTGCATGTTTAGTTTCTCTTTGATCCAGAATCTAATACGAAAGGAAGTCCTTTCTTTTAGCTGGTTCCCACCCCAACTCCACTCCCTGACTCGCCAGATATCTCAGGCAGGTTCTTACTGTGATCAGCGTCTGAGATGAACCGCCCTAGACATCCGGAGCCTTCCGGTCGCTGACACCAGACATTCAGGCCCACGGAGCTCCGAGTGAAATGGAGAGGACAAAACTGAGGTTAATTTGGGACCCTTCTGCTGCTCTGCTCCCAAATTAGAGATCATTCAGTGAGCCCATGTGAGAGCAATGATGCACAGGCAGAGACGCCAAGAAACTGCCTCCCGACGCTCCCTGCTCCCGCCTTTCACATCACAGGCCCCAGAAAGAATGCTGGAGATGGCATTGCATTGTCCGCTTGCTTCGAGAATCGGGCTTTGAAACTGATGCCCTCCTAAACCAGAACACTGTGCGGGGCTCCACCTCCCAGAGCGAACCCATGTCGCCGCAGTCTGGGACTTCAGGTGCCTTGCTTTCTTTAACGAATTAGGGGGTATTTATAAAAAGAAACATTATTTTTCCCCCTCCCCTTGTCATGTTCCAGATGGATAGGGAGAGAGTTTGTCTTACTTCAGCCCTGAAGAGTATTTTGGGTGAGAGGGATTTCATTTTAACCAGAGGGCCTCCCGCACGACTCGCTCCTGTGAGCCGCAGGCCGCCCTGGGCCACCTGGAGGACAGAGGGAAAGCTGGACTCTCCTCTGAGGATGGCTTTTAGAGAGGGCTTCCTAACGGAGGGCTCCCACCTCCTGTGCTGGGTCTCTGCGTCCGGAACTCTGTCGATGTCACGATTTCACAAACAAGACAGGAAACGAGGCAAAATGGAAACGTGGGTCATGGGGTCTCTGTGGGAAGCCTCGTTCCCATTGCTTTTCCAGGCTTCTTCAGACTCTCCTCATGGGCTAGATGTCCGCTGAGAGAAGGACCAGGGCCAGACCACCTCAGCTCTTTTAAGACTCGTTTTTGGGGGGGGTCTTTTTAGTCTGTGTCCTGAACTCCTTTAGCATCTGGTGAAGCCTGTGAACCCGTTTCAGAATGCTGTTTTTAAAACTCATTAAATAGGGTGTCTGGGTGGTTCAGTTGGTTAGGCGTCTGCCTTCGGCTCAGGTCATGATCCCGGGGTCCTGGGATCGAGCCCCGCATCGGGCTCCCTGTTCAGCGGGAAACCTGCTTCTCCCTCTCCCACTCCCCCTGCTTGTGTTCCCTCTCTCGCTGTGTCTCTCTCTTAAAAAAAAACAAAAAAACACCTCATTAAATAAAATATGTAGGGGGCGCCTGAGTGGCTCAGTCAAGCCTCTGACTCTTAATCTCAGCCCAGGTCTCAAGGTCGTGAGAGCAAGCCCCTGAGTCTTGGGCGTGGAACCTGCTAAAGAGTCTCTCTCTCCTTCTGCCCCTCCCCCTCCCCCACTGCTCATGCGTGCGTGATCTCTCTCTCTCTAAATAAATAAAATACATAGGATTACAAAAGACAAGAATTATATTGACTTGAGATAATTATCAAAATATTTTTTAATTTGTAATTTAGTAATAATATGCCTTTTTTTTTTTTAAACACACTAAATAAACAGTGGCCGGTCTAGAAGTGTCATAATTTCATAGGTGCCTTAGGCATAAACAATACCTCAAGACCCTGCAGCAGCTGTGACAGGGCATGGAAGTAGCTGTGGTTTCTGTTGCCAATGAAGGCCTGGTGCTGCTAATAGGCCTCTGGTCTGTGGCCTGCCTGAAATGCAAGATGTTGCCCTGCAGTCAGAGGCTGGTGAATATACAGATGGAATTTTGTTTCTGTCCAGGTTCCTGGAACTTGGGTTCATGGATCAGATTCAGAACTTTTGCTTGAGAGTGACCTTCCCAGCCTGACCACATGGCAGGTGTCATTGTTTACCAAGCCTTGAGCACAGGAATAATAAGAAAAATACTGGCTGATGTTCGCTGAGTCCTTACTAAGTACCAAGTACCCTGTGATATTGGACACTAGGACTCGGTAATGAAAGGGCCAGCTCCTGCCCACTGGAGGCTTATAGTCTATGGAGGGAAGGCTGACACGTGAATACACAAATATCATTTTGGAGAGCCGTGGGTGCTAGAAGTCAGTAGTACAGGGCAGTGTAATAGAATGACTTGGAAGGGGAGAACAAGAGGGGTCTATTTTCCAGGGAAGGCCTGTGTGAGACCCATGATGAGGAGAGAGCCATGCAAAGATACAGAGGAAGGGTGTTCCCGGCACAGGAACTGCAAAGGGCGCAGAAGAGAGAACCAGTGGAAAACATTCCCGGGCCTGACAGGAGGCCCGTGTGGCTGGGACAGAGTGCAGGGTCGGGGTGCGCCGAGCGCTGGAGCGCTGGAGATGGAGGC